CCCCAAAACCCCAAAACCCCAAAACCCCAAAAAAAAGGTCAATTATTGAAAATATATAATGGATATTTTAGTATAGGGGGGTAAGGTATGCCTGTTAGAAGAGGTTCATGGGTCTTGCTACTCCAATGTTTTGGAACTTTGCATCATCGAAGTCTTTTAGGAGGTATTTCATCTTATTGCTCTGATCGATTTGGGAGTTAGTGAATACATTCTTTCCAAGTCTTCCATACTCTTTATTTGTCATTAGGATAATTATTTTCTGTCATACTAGTAGGATTTATGACGATACCAAGGTCGTTGTTAGCAACTTGGACTGTTTTGAGCATATCTCCTTGAATTCCAAAGGGTCTAAAAGTTTAAATTCCAAAACTTACCTATCTCTTCCTCCAAATCGTATTTGACTAGACTTGATCTTACCACCATATCCTCCTCCTAATCTGCGTGGTTTCCAGTTCTTCTGAATGCCTGCTCTGACAAAGTCTACTAGTACATATCTTGATCCAACTTTGATATCATTTCCTGCCTATTTTTCATAAATTTCGAAGAGCTTACATCAAATGCCTTATTTAGCCTGATTAAACTCATCAAATTGGATGAATCCATAGCATTTGGAATTTTTGGTGACTATTTTATAACCTAAGATCCTTACCAATATCTCTGATTAAGGCGATATCATTGATTTTTCCAAATGGTTTAAATGCTTTGAACAGGTCTTCCTCGATCGTTTGAGGGCTAAACCCCTTTACAAAGAGTGTCTTGTGAGCATTCTCTTGCCTGCCTGGTGGTGGAGTGTCTATAAATTACATTGAGAAATTACATTCAGCCTTATCAGCCCTTGCAAGAGCCTTATCATGGTAGGACACACCTTTTCCATCCTTATAGCCCACATCTATGGGGATGTACTCATCAAAATCGATTTGGTTCTCTTTGAACCTGAAATTAGGCTTCTTCTGGTCTCTTTTTCTCCAATTTGAGACTCTCTTTTTCCTCTGAAATTTATCTGGGTAGGGTGAAATATTCCCTGAGGTTTCTCTTTGATGAAATTCTTTATTTAAAAACTCTTTCTTCATGATATCTACTGTTGATGTTGGCAAAGCCTTCTGGCTTCACTCTGACAGACTGGTGGAGAGGTTTCCTCTGACTGAAATCTTCTGAGAATGGGTGCTCATTTTTAATCCCAGAGTTATTTCTTTGATCCCAATGGAAATCACCCTTGAATTGACTGTTTTCGTAGAGAGGCTTTGGCATTTCTTGTTTAAAGTTTTGAGAGAATTGTGTATCAGCCGAGCTTTCATCCTTTACCATCATGCTAGTTTCCAAAATCTGTTTGAGCAACGGCTGAGAATTGGTTTCAAAGTCTCCTGTATCATTTGTTCTCGAATCAGAATCTTTACTGTAATAATGATTTCTGCTTTTATCCCTAAATGATCAGATTTAACCTGAAAGAATTAGAAATATGCAACTGAGTTTTAGCTTGTCATCAAATTTCCTAAGGCTGCTTTCGTTCTTCTATAGGAACAAATCTCCTTATAGACTACTGATATTAGAAAACTTGCAAGAAACTTACTCGTGCTTTCTAGAAGGACGCCTTCTCCCTCTGTATCCTTGATTTCTATGAGAAGATTGATGCCGATTTGTATTAGAGCCAGTATTTTTCCTATCATATTTTCCTCTCTTATTCCTCTGAATTTGGTTATTATGTGGCTTATCTTTGTAAAAAATTTTATTCTTTCTATTCTTGTTTGGCTGTATTGGCCTGAGTCCAAGTCCTTCCACGTTTTCCATGATCTAAATGTAGGCATAAACAATGTAAATTGGAGGGAAAGGGCAGTGATATGCCTACCACTGATCAACGACTTACTTACCTTTTATTTAATTGGGTTTTAATTATTGTCTATAAGGACTGTGTTGATATATCTTATGTCTATCTTACCTCAATCTAAGGTATTTATCCTGGGGTTTTGGGGTTTTGGGGTTTTGGGG